TTTTTTTTTTTTTAAATAAAATTTTTTTAAATAAAAAACCGTTTTGTTTATTGTGATTGAGGAAGATTTTGAAGAGAATATTGGCGAAGGTATTCTGTGTGTTTGGTTTCCATTGTTTAGTCCGAAGGATGCTTCTAGCCTCCTGCAAACACAATGCTCCTTTTTGAGTGTTTTGCTTCTCTTATCTGCAACTATAAACGCATTATCCGAATTAAATCTGGAAGGCGAATCGATTTGTAGGCATATTGCGCACTCCAAGGCAACAGTCAAAACCTCGTCCACATTTATGTCCTGTTACACTAGAATCTTCTCCATCAAATAGCCTGTGTATGACAGCTTTCACTGACCGGCTGTGAGGTAAAACCATCCTTTTCTAACACCTCCTAGATTCAGGAGCAGACTTCAGGCAATTAAGGGAATATACAAGGTCGGTGAAAGATGGTGAAACTGGGGAGTAACCTTCAAGACAAAGGGGCCAAACCTGTGAGTGTAGAGGACGGCTTTCAGAATGTGCCCCTCATCACTCCACTGGATGTTACCAGCCTCCAGAGCCAAGCACCTGACAAGGTAAGACATGACAGCCGCCCAAACTGTACGTGTGAAAGAGAGAGTTCTCCTGCTTGTATGTGCATGTGTCTGTTTTTCTAAATCGTCTTCTGTTTGGATTAACTCAGTGTTGTTGACCTACGCATTCGTAAACCGTTTTCATGTTGAATAAGACCCCCCCCCCCAACACACACACATACCCTTTCATTCATTCACACATTAATTCATCTCAGCTGTCTCCCAGTGGTGCCCTTTGTTTTCCATCTGAGATTAGGAGACAGATTTAGTGCCAGACAGACTGCCATCTATCATCCCAACATCCCATAGTATGTGCACTGCTGCACATTAATCCAGTTACCATGGTGGCACAACGTGGAGCATACTGGCGTTTCTGTGGGGTCAGGACAGAGAGCTGCACTGATTGCACATTATGAAAATTAAGGGAATTACACAATAGGCAGGATCACTGACGTCGTTTGCACACTTGAAAACTTTCTGGTTGACAGTGCTTGGCTCACTGGACGGCAGCGGTGACTGAGCGAGAATTTTACATGAATCGTGAAATCACTGCACCCACGAGTTAGCTGTCATCTTACTGAGTATTAGAAGGATTACTGTCATGGACCATTATCTGATCTAATGTACTTGACCTGAAAGAGCTTCACACTGAAGGCTAATAGGACAATTAGGTCATTTAAGCAGGAACTGGCTGGTTAATATTTATGCTGCATAACATGGATCTTTATTTGGAAATCCAGCCCACATTCAAACCCTTCTGCCACCTTGTGTTTATCCCCACAAAGTAACTTTTTAAGTTATACCTCATTAGCACTCAGTCCTTCGTGTTCATGCAGGAACAAGAATTCGGTGAATTGCCATTTGATGTTTGTCACATGCAATATAGGTTGAAACTTCGTGGAAAACATCCTGGAAAGCACATGATAATGAACATCATGCTACACTAGGAGTCACAATGAGCAACAATTAGCTACAGCCAATAGCTGTACAGAAAGGCTCCATCCAAATGGCAATACTATCGGCCTTACAGCACCTCTAAACCTCACTAGCTAGCACATTTGTTTAGAGCCAGGCTAGCTGTTTCTTCCACCTTCGAATCTTTGCCGTTTGCACTAACTAACTACATATTTGCAATACATACATGAGCGTGGTATCGACCATTAACAAAGAGATGAAGTGTATCTACCCAAATCTTGAGCTATTCCTTGAATATTTTGGGTCCAGACTGTGGGTTGGACAAAATAAAATCCGCTCTGAACAGAACATGAATAGAATTTTTGATTATTTTCTGATGCCCAGGTCAAAAAATTATTTACAGCAATGAAAATTATCTTCCCTACCTCCTAATTTTAACAAATCCCACACCTCTGCCTGTAATTCCTATCAAATAAAATGAACTCCTTAAATAAGTTTAGAGTGATTCTGGAAAACCAGGAAATACAGCAATCACATTAAGGAAGTAAAGAGTTAAAATACAGCGAATTTCAAAGTACAAAAACTCTTTTGTGTCAACTGATGACCTGAGCTGCTGGCCTTTAGAAAGCAGGCCAATTTTCTAAGAGCAGGGGTCACGTCCTTCATATGATGGGTGCCTAATGTAATTTTAGAATAAAGCTCTTCAGGGGTTTTTACTGTCAAGGGTTCACACAAAACCATCACAGAAAGCTAAAAATAATTCCCAAAGCGGACGTTCACTTGCACCGCTGCAGGCAGAACCACACAGTACAGCCTGAACCCTCATTGTGTATTCTGCTCAGGGATGCACAGTCTCTTCCTCTTTCATATAACTGTTAACTGGACTTGTCAGTCATTGCGCCCATTCACAGAGACACACTCACAGCAGAACACACAGGAAGCCAGTTTGAATTTTACTTCACATTGGACCTTGTGTGTACAATGCAGTCATGTGAGCATGTGTGGCGTTTGTGTGACAAGTCGTTTGTTTGCAGCCAATGATATTTGCAGACATGATATTCACAGAGCTGTCAGTCATTTTACACTGATTCAATCAGTCTCACTGCACTCAAGAACACTGCTACATACTGCTGTCAAAGCTGCCACACACACAGAGTCAAGACACTCATTGACAATATGCATTCCCTAACCATCTCTACTGAATGCCTAACACAAACCCTAGGCCTTACTCTAACACTTAGCCTAAACCTGATTCTAACCCTCAACATTAAAGCCAAGTCTGGACCTTCAGAAAACCCCTTTGAATTTGTGAGGACCAGCTAAAATTGATGATATGATAAAGACATGCACTGTACACACATACAGTGTCGGGTACTGAGTGATTGCTCCAGTTTGTATTTTGGTTTTTGGTTTTATTGATAACCCAGACAGGGAGAGAGAGAATAATCAGAGCGGCAGTGAGCTCCTGAGATATATCAGTGAGCTACTGTCATTGACATTTGAAAGGAAAAGAGGTCAGACAAGAAGACTTGCTGTTTTGTTGACTATCAGTGAATTTTCACATGCCTCGGGAGATACACGCACAGAGATCGCTGTTGCTTGTTGCTTTTGGATACACTTGCTGACAGCTGATGCGGATTCTGTTTGCTGCTCACTTCCTCAGAGGACTGGAAATGGTTAGTTTTAAAGGCACTGAACACATTTCCTTTTTTTATAAATCATTACGTACTGTAAATGTGGATGGGTCTATTTGTTCTTACATGGGACGGTGTGAGAGTTGTAAAGATCAGGTTGCTGCTAAATCTTTGAATTTGTCTCCAGCTGTAAATGGGAGAATTTGTATTCCTGGTAAGTGATGCATGAATGCAACAGAGGCCAAGAGAAATAATGAAATCTGTAATTAAACATCTGAGCGTAGGGGGTATTCATGATGGCTGGCACAGCTCACATAATGGCAGTTCTACTACTTTATCCTATATACTGTGCATATGTGCGATCACACGTGGCAGTGTCTTGTTTTCTAATGAATTTTCTGTATTACTTTGTAGTCCTGCTTTCTATGAAATAAAAGCCTCTATTTGATACCATATAGATGATATTTTTCAACTGTTTAGACTATTCATACTGTATTCTGTAATTAATTCGCCTGTGGCGGAGTCTGCCATATCCTCCATTAAACTGTGTCAGAGGTGTGTTATGCTCCTGCTAAACTGCTGCTGCTATTGATGATATTACATCAAAAACATTCAGCTGGCAAAGTGCGGAGGAGCTGGACTGTTTGTCAGAGAGGTTGGCGCTGTTTACATTCTGTAATTATGTCTCACCATGTTTTTGCATGAATGCAGCAGAGGTAAATCCAGAAGCAGTACATGCATACAATCTAGTGCTATTGTGATTAAAGGTGCATTAACTAACTTTTAAAACAAAAAAACCCCTGACACATCCCGTTCCTTAGCAACAATGGATACAGTCACCAGTCAGAAGCTATTGTCAGCTGACTAACGACTAAATGAGGACTTCACTTGTTAGTTTAGAGGTAAAACGGACTTCAGTGAGTGGACTGCGGCCAAAGCAGTGCAGATGCCACATTTCTGCAAGTTTTGTTCTGCTTGCTCAACAGCTGTTTGATAAACTACTCGTACATTCTCTGCTACTGGTTGATTCTGCCCTATGGAGTGATTCTTCACATCTTCTGCTCTTCCTCTGCTCAGCTGTGCATGATTGTATATGTGTTTGAGAGGAGCACAGCCCCTTGCTCCTCTAAACAAAGAGTGACCCAGCAAAAAAAGACAGTGGGAAAGCAAAGTAGGATGGTCCGTGTAACCCATGAGGTTAACTGCCAGGTGACAGTTAAGAGAAGTATGGGGTGTACTGCTTGTTAGTGGAAGCGCAGCTTAACTGACTGACGAGTCCTGGCTCCACAGCAGCACAATGCCAAGTGACGAGGTTGACAGTGAGTCGACAGCCCCAAACAGGACTAAAAAAAGCACTAACATTACACAAATCTTGAATTACTCCCACATTAAAATCATATAAATTCATCACAGAGGTGAAATCATAACCATGCTAGGTGGCTAATATTACCGAAACAAACCCTTTATCTTTAGATAAAGGAAGAACGCCACATCTGAATCATAAACTGCTGCTTTTGAAACTCTCCATCTGGAAAACCCTGGTTTTTCCTCTTTGTCTGTCCCACTCTCTCTGTGCAAAACAACACCACCCCTTCGATTTGGCAGCCACTGTTTTGGACTTTTAGAAGAAGAAAGAGGACTGACCATCAAAACAGAGGGTGAAGGAGCAGGAATAAAAACAGAAGGGTTGTTGGCAGCAGAGTGATTGGGAGGGGGCTAGTGTAACTAAGAAACACCACGTCCTCTCCCATTTTCACTGGATTTATCAGCAAAGTGCAAAATCCTAGTTAATGCACCTTTAATTTTATAGTATTGTTAGTAGCCTCACAGTTCACTGTTCATTCCCCTATTTTGATTAAGTCTCACAGAAGGTCAGTACTGACATAAATGAACAGCAGTCTCAGGAAAAGCCAGGATTTAATCTTAAGGATTATAATGTAAAGGACAGTGACATGAGTGTAGGAGAACAAAAACATACTCCACTTGTATTTTTGTAATCTCACTAAATTGAAAGTTTTTGCCCATGATCCACATAGAAAGAGTTGAATGTTAATCAGTTTTTTATCTGGCTTTCAGAATCTGATCTGAGACCAGTTTCTTTTTCTCCATCCTTTAAAGCTAAATGGAAAGTTAATGGGTCATGTGACCTGACTGGTACCCCAGATGGGCTGTCTGGTTCTGAGCAGCTTTACTCACGCGAGCTCAGTTGTTTATAGCTTGATCCTGCCTGATGACTGTGTGACTTACAGTGTTAACCACGGATATTTTAGGGGGGGCGGGGTGCAGTGACAGTGCTGCTGTGGCCTACAGAAGCTTTAACGAGGAATTTGATTAGATTCCATCAGGAGTGCTGGTGGTTTGGACAAAAGGTGGAAGGTGGAGACAGAGATAACTAGACAGGCTCATAGAAAGATCTTTTGTCTCTTTTTGTTGCTTCTAGGAGACTAAAGCTAAGAAACAAACACCTGCTTCACTGGCAATGACAGACTTACATTACAGTCATTCTGTTAACCTGTCCAACAGGCCTCCTTATACAGCTTCATCCTTTCCTTTTTTGTCTTTTATCTGTTCCTTTTTGAGTAGTTTTTAAGTGTTAGTCGTTCTTCATTCAGCTGTGAATGCATATCCTCATGAATTAGGGAGGATTTCCTGGGAGCACACTCAGCATGTTAAATCAGTAATGTATTGCTGAATGACTTGTGTGTTGTGACAGTGCGAGTCCTCATAACCAGATGAACCATTGTCCAATTTTAATTTGAAAAATCGCCACATAAGTTCTCTGCATTTATATGATTGGCTGTGCATAGAGTAGCTGTGGCATCTGAAGACAGACCAGTGTATCACACCAACAAAGCAGGAACATGTTTATGCAAAGGAAAACCGGCACGCTGATGGATCCTGTTAGTTCCTAATGTCAGTGTCGTTAAAGGTCAGGCTTTGTCATCAAACTGAATAATTTAATCTATATACCATACCCTAGGTAAGTCAAATCCTCAGGTTAGTAAATCCACTAGGGCTGCAATTAACAATTAATTTCATTAATTTAATTTTCATTATTAGTTTTCTCATTTAATCAATTGATAATTTGGTTTATGAAATGTGAGAAAACAGTGAAAATGATCAAAATATCCAAGATCTCAACATGCTGTCAACAACTGCTTGTGTTGACCTACTGCTAGTCTAAAATCTAAACATATTCTTTTACAATCACATACAACAGATAAATCTACAAATTGTAGCTTGGACCAGAAAATATTTGGCCTTTGCAAATGAATACAAACCCCAGCAATTAAGGAACTTTCAAAATAGTAGCCAAATGACTTTCTGATGATTGATGGACCTTTCAGTCAACGTTTTAAATGCAACTCAGTAAACCAATTTAATGACAAGTACTTTCAGGAAAATTTCTGCAGGAGCTAAACTAAGCACACACCTTGTAAAAATGTTTTAAAAACATATCTTGCATTTGTAAAGTTATAGGAAACAGAATGAAGTAGAAACCTTCCACAACAAGGGAAATATTTATCTTTTATATTTAAGGTAATGAAAAACATGCATATACCATCAATCCTCAGAGTCGTTGCTGCCTTAATGCAAGTATTTCATATTCCTAACAGCCACACTGGGCCCCTGTATAAAGTAAGAGCACTGCATTGCTGCCTGTTGGTTGGTTTTCAGTCCTGCTCCTAAGGCTCAGAGCCCTGATGGTTTTTATTCTAGCTGGTGAAATAGAGATTGATTTGCATCTAGGATGCAGAGGGAAATGCACTGCAAATAACTACTCTTGCTTATCTAGATAAAGAAAGAAAAAGCAGTGTTCACCCTGAGAGACCAAGAATGGGTTACAGCACTGAGCCAGTGACTGTGGTTTATTTGTAACAATACAATGTTTTTCTTTTTAAAACTGCAATAATCAGTGTTTTTATATTAACAGTAAAGCACAGGACTATGTATGTCAGAGTTGCTCATACTGATGAACCCTCAGTTTCAGATGACAAGATTTAAGCCATATAACAGCCTGACCAGAACCAAAAATGGGCATCAGACATGACAAAAGATTATTTTATCTCGTATAGTGTGTCTTCGTGAACAACGACTGATGCTGCATCTTGGATGCATCATGATGTACCAACACAAAGTCTAACGATGCTGCATCTTGGATGCATCATGATGCACCAACACAAAGTCTAACATGCCAATGTTTTCCCTTTCTATGACGTGTTGGAGTGAAGCTGACCAATAGGAGCACAACACCCCTGGTATAAAGGACTGAATCATATTTGTCAAGTCAGTGAATCGACAATCAATTCCAGTGATGAAGATAACATTAGGATATTAGCTTCCACAGTCAGCCCTGTGTAGTGCTCTATAAGGGCTAGTTAGCTAGTTTTTGGTCTTTTATTTTTACTCCAAATTCTCCCTGAAGAATGGAGAATCCATACTGCTCTCTTTATTTCTTTTCTTATGCATTTCCAAACATAAGCCAGGTGGCATCACGCACACCATTACATTTTCCTGGTTTCTAGCAACTCCTTCATGCAAGTCGCTGTAATCTCTCAGATACAAGTGTGTAGTCTGTCGTACCTCTCATCCCCAATCATTTAATTTTGCATTTTGAACATCTTCTCAGACAAAAAAAATCATGTAGTCTGACCAGGCATTAGAGAATTACCACCTTTCTGCCATTCTCCTCCGCTCTGTGGGGCAACTTTGCCGTT